AAACATATATGTACATACTGGGTGTTACCTGTAACGCGACGCACGATTTTTCACCCACTTGCAGTCATCTTACAAAATAAAGTTTGCAACAAGAGTTGCAGGGTATGGACTGTACAATAAATATCAGTAAAAAAATTTCGAAAACTGTTTTCTTGACGAAATCAAGGTCACCTTGGGTTTTACAAATAGGAACACATTTTTTTTTTACCATTTTTTTGTGGACATCGAGACGAATTCAAAACACATATTACATGATATTTTTACTAACATATTTTTATTATTTAAAATTTTTTTTGTTTTTTCTTTTTTAATTAAATAAAGTGCATTTTTCTTATGTTCTAGTCGCGTGTTTACATTCAGTACTCTTCGGTGTCAAATAACGTTTACACTGTCTTAAAGTCAAATATGTACGACGAAAAGCTAATGTATTTCACATTTCCACCACTGTAAATCGAATAATATGTTAGTAAAAGTATCATGTAATATGTGTTTTGAATTCGTCTCGATGTCCACAAAAAAATGGTAAAAAAAAAAAATATGTGTTCCTATTGTCTGTTGTAACGCGAGAGCTGGAAATTATTTATAAAAATAGTCCTATTGTTCGGTCGATTAACTGTCAATTTTAGGGCGCACTTGGTCCTCTTTTGTTGGGCTTAGCGCACATGGTGTCCGGGTGTGTGGGCCTTCGAGTAAGACACTCATAAAGTAATTTGTAGGCCGTCACGGCTAATCCGTCTTTTAGGCAAAATATTTCTATCTTGTGATCGAACATCTTGTCTGTGTTAAAATTTCTTTAATACAAATTTTCAAATAATTAATAATAAATTTTCAGAGAAAATTTAATATTTCTCTTTGATACTATAATTTTGGAAGCAATTATTACCTTTAAAATAAAGGAACTCTACAGTGTTTACAATTATTTAAACTTTTTTTCTCGTGTTACACATCTATTGTTATACGAAATCAAAGTATTGATAAATAATTGTCAGATTTATGAATTGCTAAAACTATGGTGTATTTAGATGCACTTGTCTGATTAAAGAAATTTAAACTCTACATTTGAAAATTCCATATTTTCAAATATGGAATAAAATTCCTACAATTGAAAATTCCTCTTATGCATTTCAGAATGTAAGCAGATTTAATATGTAATTAATAACTTTCTTTCTAATGTGTCGCAAAATCTTTTTTCACAGCTTCTACGGGACAACCTGAACACGGTGCTTCGTAGATTTTGCGAACCCCCCTACCTCTGCTGTGAGCTTCCCTACATTCGCCGATGCTGTGCGGATTACCGAGATTTGATTAACTTTTTAATGCTTACAATTAACAAACGAACTCGAATTTGAAATTTCCTTATTACTGATTTTCATTCGATTTTATCGTCTAGAATTATAGTTTATAATTTCTCTTATTTGTTGCCGAACGCTCTGTATTCTGTACATAGGGGGAGAGTCAGGGAATTGCGAACACCTAAGGAAAAAGTTGAATAAAACAAAATATTGCAAAGGTAATAACTTTGTTTATATACAAAGGCATATTATCTGTTTATATAGTTTTATAATCAACTTTAACAAAATTTAAAAATAAAGCCAATTTTTAATAGGAAAACCAGACCGTTGCCGTTCGTGATATCCTAAATATTGTGGGGTAATCACGAACGCTACTTACTTGTTTACAAAAGTCGCTTAAATAGCCTCTAGATGTGCTCTGATCAGCACTGTACTTTTGCAACAATCGTAACACATAATCCAATCTTCAGTTGGAGGATTCTCGTACTTTTTTTTACAATACATATAGTAATATTCATCTTCGTCATTTTTAGCGTTAACTTTCTTTTTCTTTCCTGGTATTTCTTCTTCTGTGTGTCTCTATTTTCTCTTGAAAATTTTCAAAATTTCTCACTACTTTACTTCTAGTCAGTCTTTCGGTATCATGACGAACGTTCGAGATTGCCCCACACAATTCGTTCGTCATTACCCCATAAGGTAAAAAACGAAATCAATAGAGAGAATTTTCGGTTAAAATCATCAAATAAAAGATATACTGGTTTTAAATTATTCCTCAATTCGTACTTTTTGGGTATTTAAACATTAGTATTAAGATAATTATAAATACAAAAGCTATAAGTTATTTTACTTTCTTCAAAATATTAGATGAAGAGGAGCAAAAACCTTCTATAATTTTTACCTCGATCAGTGTGCATGTCAACTGTTTTGTATTGGCGACCTGGCATTACAATCGGTACGAGCAATCATGTGGCAAAAGGAGGAATTGTTCATGTTTTTCTAACACCATTATATATGCGAATTCACCATTACCCTGCGTTCGTGTTTTCCCGACTCTCCCCTACTCGTGTAAGTACTGTGCGTCCACGAGAAGATGGCATACGAGACGGCACAGGGGCAACGGGGGTACTTCACTCGCACCGCCCAAATCTTCCGGTACGGAGTGCTGTATGATCCGATTCGTCGATGTTATCGCGTTCGGCCACTAATGACAATACGTGTACCCGATTTCTATGATTGTGTTAGAAAAGGTGAGCTTATGGAGATTTGACCCAATCACACCCGCATTCCTTTGCCATGCCATCTTCTCGTGGACGCACAGTATAATATATGGTATCAACATTGAGTAATACGCACCATGGCAAATTTTTCCATTTGTATTCTTTAAATTAATTCCCAAACTTATTCTCCGTCATTTTAGATGGTTCGGTTTACAAAGTGAAGTTCAAGGGATCGGATGACGTTTGTTTCAAATCGATTCAAGGGTGAAAACAGCATCGAATCAACATTTGAAAATTTAATATCGATTTCTACTATGTTAATCAATAATAAACAAATTTTCATATACGTATCCCAATAGCGTATACCTTGAGCTTTAAAGTGATACATAAATAAAAGACATTCCTTGAAATGACTAACAAACATATGGAGTTTAAAAAGGATCAGTAACTACCATTGTAATTCCTATTCAATTTAACAAGTAGCTTGTACGCGTCTAACGAGAACTTTGGGCGAGACGCCACTCATCAACAATGTGCATACGTATCCTATATTGTACGCAGCGAAAAGATTTATACTCAACGTACTTGCATAGTGTACGGGTCATCACGATTGACTTCGAAACGCAAAAGATTCACTTCCTGTAAAATCCTTATTAGTGGAAGCACTGGAGAACAACTCGTTCGATCGTAAATGTAACGATGCTTTGCATCTCAAACAAATACACACATTATTATCACTCTCATGGCCAATTACAAAAAAAGAAAAAAAAAATGCTAGCAACAGAAGTAAAGTCCTCGGTCACCCAAAGCATAAGATTACAATAAGAACGCTACCTATTCCATACAACCACTTATCTGGAATCCTTATTCAGTATCGAACAGGAGCGCCGAAAATGACTAGTTTTTGAAGTGTATTTTAATGCGATTTTTGTACAATAAGTATTTAAAAGCATCGAATGACGAGGAAAGAAAAGCCAGTTATAACCCCAGAGAAGGGAAATTGACACAAAATGCTAAAACAGTAACTACTAGAAAAGGTGATTAGTATCTTTAACCCTTTCGGTACGATCATCGACGAGCCACTAAAAGTTTATACATGCCCAAGTGTCGACTTTACTCAATAGATGTAACCTGCACGGTGTAGCACGTTCTCGATGATTTTATTCAAACCACATTTCTGCTCGACAACTGTTGTTTCCGATGTGACATTAAATACGAATGTTTTTACAAATCGATAATAACTTCATATCTCGTTGTATTGCGAAAGTATAAGCAGTGGATCGCTCTCGTGACTCCCTAGGCCCTAGACTATCGGTCATTGAGTAGCGTTTCACGGCTGACCCCCGACGTACCGAAATGGTTAAAGGGATAATTGCCATGTTTGAAGATTTTACAACGTTAAATGTGATGATTATGATAGTTAACTTATAAAAGCATTTAGAAACTTAAGACTACCTTAAAGAATTTGCAAATTATTTACTTAACTTTGTACAAACTTAAATAATATTAAGGTGATCTTCATATTTCCTAAATATTGTTATTAGGAATGATTTACTATTTTCAAAATGTTATACTATTTTTAAGAAATTTTTTCAAACTACATTTATGCTTTTGGAAATGTATATGGTATTTTCCAAAGGAATGCGTGCATGCGAATGAAATATAATAAATATTTGCGAAGAAATATCATTAACAACTAAATTAATAGGAATTTCAATTAGTCAGTTGTATGTATGTAATATTAATTTTTCTAAACTGTAACGCAAATATTGATTCAGTTACACCTGATTGTCTACGCGTTTCTTTTTTGTCATATTCTCGCGTATAAGCAAAAATTGATATACTTCGAAAAATTCAGGTTGTAAATTTATTACTTTAATTAAGATGATATGATTGAAAATAACTACCTATATCTACAGACGTTAAACTACAGTAATTCACACATTTTACAGCTTTGTAGCTGAAAATTTCTATTTCTTATTCAGACCTTCTCTCATCGAAGGATGTCGTTCAGTTTATTTCGACACCGTAATTGTATTATACTATCCGAAAAATATCCTTTCGTTGCATTATTCATTTAGTCACTGACGATATAAGTAAAATGATCGTATAACGTGTAAGTGTAGAAGTAGACAAGATAAACTTGTGCTTTGCCGTCGTTGTTAAGAACCAAAGAACCATCTGCCACTAATTATAAGGGGTTAACCGTGTTATAGGTTTCCTGTCATATGGCTTTTTGATGACTTTCCGTTCGAACCATATAGCTTGTACGCGTCTCATATTGGTGAAATTAACAATGTAACTTATGATATATTAAATGCGTTTATAAAACTGCGAATTCATTGTTATTAAGAAAAAGGTATAACCTAAAATTCTAATATATCGAAAAGTCTGAACGGAAAGTTCACCGTAAAGCATATACAGGAATGTACATGCGAGTACACACACACGCGCGCGCGCGTGCGCGCGACAAATGAATTGCTCTACTCACAAAGGTTTTGGTGGATCACTAGCGAGTAATGTACCATCGTTTCTCGCATTATTTCCTCCTGCATCTTCAAGATCGTCATCGCTGTCGCTTTCAACAGACAATGCCTACAATAAAAGATGAATATCGTTAAACTGAAACTTAGTCAACCTATAATGATAGTATAAATATTGAATCAACTTAAAACAACAACATAGTAACTATCTGACAAGTAACTGAAAAATTCAAAGAAAATTATAGCTTTGTAACATTTGTTTGTAATAATCTAATGTGCGATCGATCGCAATGCTTACTTGATCGAGAATACTGGAAGACTGTGGCATCTGTTTGTTGTTCTGATCATTACTGCCCGCAGGCTGACCGGAATTTGATGTTGATGATGCAGCAGAGCCCTTATGCTGCCTGTTCGGCCTTGGCGGGGCCTCTGGGCACTGTGACACACCAAGCTCGTTGAGTTGAGCAGCCAGCATGTCCAAGTCCTACCACCCACACGCACACACGCACAACCCCGTTAGTCACTGTTCCAAGACACCTCCAAAAATTGTTTAAAAGCCGCCACCAAACAGCCAGGCAAAGCAGATAAAAGTAGGTGAAAAATGCAAGATATTTCATTCATTTTTATTTAAATGCTAGTTGATATGAAAGTTTCATCGTACGACAATGCAGATAAATATGTATGCAGGGTGAGCCAGATAAAGCGTTACAAGCTGTTTTCTTCGAAACCACTGAAAATATGGATTTGAATTTCTTTACGTTAAATTGGACAGGG